TCAATGGAAAAATTAAATTTCAGTAAAGTTTTTATATAAAAAAATACAATTCAGCAACATTTTTTACGGAAAAACTCAATTCAGCAAGTGTTTTCTGTTGATGATATCAATTCAGCAAATTTCTTCTGAAAACACCAATTCAGCAACATTTTTCTGCGAAAAAAAAACAATTCAGCTAAACTTTTCTAAAGGAAAACTCAATTCAGCAAAGTTTTTCCCACAAAAAATTCATTTCAGCAAGTTTATTCCATAAAAAAATTAAATTCAGCAAATTCTACCTCTAAGATAATCTATTCAGCAAAGATTTTAAGTTGAAAACATCCATTCAGCAAGAAGTTTTTACGGAAGTTCAACTGCATTTTCTTCAGAAAAACAATTCAGCTCAATTTTTCTAAAGAAAAATTCAATACAGCAAAGTTTTTTTGCATTAAAAATGTAATTCAGCTATGTTTTTGCACAGAAAGACTCAACACAGCAAAGTTTTTCTATACAAAAATAAAATTCAGCAACTTTTCCCTCTAAGAAATTCAATTCAGCAAAGATTTTCTGTTGAAAACAAGCAAGGAATTTCTATAGGAAAATTTAATTTAGCTAAGTTTTTTTTTAATGAAAAAAGATAATTCAGCTAAGTTTTTCAAAATAAACACACAATTCAGCTATATTTTCCCAATGAAAACCCCAATTCAGTAACTTTATTTTATAGCAAAATAAAATTCGGTGGTTTTTACATTAAAAACTCAATTCAGCTAAGATTTTCTGTTGAAAATATAAATTCAGCTACAATTTTCTAGTGAAAAAATCTATTCAGCAAAATGTTTCTAAAGTATAACTCAATTCCGCGAAGTTTTGCCACAGGAAAACTAAATTCAGCTGCGTTTTTCTATTGAAATTCCCAATTCAGCAAAGGTTTTTTGTAGAAAAATGTAAGTCAGCATATTTTCCAGTCAAAAAATAAATTAAGCACAGTTTTTATATGTAAAACATCAATTCAGCAAAGTGATCCTAATGTAGAACTCAATTTAGTGAATTTTTTATAGAAAATATCAATTCAGCAAACTTTTTGAAATTTAGCAAAAATTTGCAATTCAGCAATGGTTTTAATAGAAAAAAAAACTCGATTCAGCTACGTTTTTCTTATGAAAAAAATCAATTCAGCAGATTCTAAAAATCTAAAAAAAAATCCAGATTTTTTTCCTAATTTTTTAAAGTATATCAATTGGTAGAATCCCCCACAAAATCTCCAATGGCAACTCTGACCAACTGAGTTTAGTTAAAACGTGTAACATGTACACACGAACACGCACACACCCATACACAAATATAACGAACGAACAAACAAACAACTATCGTCCAAAAAGGAGAAAATGAGAAAACTAAACAAAATACGTGAGCTTAATTTCAATTATATTTTAAACAACAATAACAACTATAAAAAATAATATACAACAATTTCCAAATAGTATACCAAATATGAAAAAAATATTATTTAATAGTTATTTTTTTATTAATAAAAAAATATTTTTTTTAATTTCTTTAAAATGCCTCTATAAATCAATTAAAAAAATACTCGTTTTAAAGGAGATTGATTTATTTTATTATGTATTCTCTGAGAACCTTTGTGCTCAGAGTAGTAGTATTCTCTATCTCACCGTCTGGTCATCTATTATGAAATTGCATTTGTTAGCTATTGTTGTGTTTGTTTTGTTGTTGTTGTGGAATATCAACATCATCACTAGCTGCAATGAGTTCTCACCTCAGTCATTCATTCTCATTCTAGTTAAGAGAGAGGGAGTGAGTGAGAGAGATTTAGAAGACCTGTTTCTTATTGTGTGCAATGGTCATATGCCCAAGAGTGCATAACCGTGCATGAGAGCTGTGGACAAGATATACTAATAAGATAACATGGTTGCATAGGCAACTAACAAAAGACTTAAGCAACAAACCTTAAGTAAAACAAACATAAACACAGGGTGTTTCAAAAATGCAAGAAATTCAATTAAAAAAGTGTCTTTAAAAAGACATTAGTAAGTTGTTTGCTTTAGAAAAAATTAAAAAATGGAAAAAATTATATAAATAAAAAAATTAACAAGTAATTTTAAGTTTTTGTAGAATAAAAATTTTTAGCCATAGAAAGGAAAAATGAATTTCCGAAAAAACTGAAATATTTTATTAAAAAAAATTAAAAATGTAGAAAAAAATGCAATAAATAAAATCTATAGAAAAGCAATTAAAGAACGTTTTTTGTAGGAAAAAAAGAATTTTCTCTGTAGAAAGAAATAACAAAAATTAGAAAATATTCATTGAATATTTTTTTCACAAATATTTTTCTATTGAAAATAAAAAATTAATAGATTAAAAAAATATATGATATTCTATAGAAAAAAATCATTGAATTATTTTTTTCTATAAAAAACATTGAATTATTTTGTCCGCAGGAAAAAGTTGATTTATTTTTTATAAATTAAAACAACCCCATTTCTTTATTTTTTGCCACATTCTTTTTATTGAGTTTTTCAATCTTTTGTTGTTCGATTTTATGTATAATCATTTTTAAAATAATATTTTTATTTTTTTCAGTTTTTATTCCTTAAAATTATATTGGTTTTTTTATTATTTTAGTATACTGGATTTGTTGTTGTTTTATTTTTTTTTATTTTTTATAGAGACGACACTAAGAAATACATGAAACTTGGAAATGGAATTCTAAAATTGTTTAATTTTTTTGTATTGGGTTAGATGGGTCGACCACCTAACCTCAAAAAATTTAATTTTACAAGAAATTGCCATTATTTTTGTTGTAATTAATTTATTTGTATTTATTTTTTTTATTTGTTAAATTAAAAATAAATTACAAATTAAATTTATTTTATTTACTTTTTCAATTCAGTTTTCGTATACTTGATTTTGTTGTTGTTGCTTTTTTGTTTCTTTTTTTATTAAATATTTAAAACAAAAATTGAAAATAAATTCAATAATAAGAAGAGGATGTCAACAGAAAATTAAAAAAAAAATGTTGAACTAAAAAAATATTGAAAAGTAAATTTAATAAAAGAATGAGGATATCAAGAGATTATTAAAAAGAAAATATTCAACTAAAAATTATTGAAAATAAGTTCAACAGAATATTAAAAAAAAATTGAAATAAAAGAATGAGGATGTCAAAGTAATATTTAAAAAAATATTTAACTAAAAATTATTGAAAATAAATTTAGTTAAAGGAAGAGGGTATCAACGGAATAACTGGAATTATTTTATTGCTTGGTTTGTGAGTAGATTTTGGTGAGAGATGGAGATAGAGAGTAGAAGGTAGGTTAGGTTTATGGTTTTAATTTATTTTTTTTATTTTACTTTTTAATCTAAAAAATATTGCATCAATATTGTATTTTTGCTTGTTGTTGTATGTATATAGTATTTCATTTATTTATTTTTTTTTTTGTGTTTAAATATATAATTCTTATTTTCTTATTATCGTATATTATTTATAAGTTCAAGATCGACTTCGGTATACAATTTGTGGAGTTCTGTGTTGCTCTGCTATTTTTTCTATATTTTTTAAACCAATTTGATTTTGTTAAACATACTGGGGGTGTGATGAGGGCGAGAGGTTCCATCTTATTTTCTCCAAACAAAAACTAATGGGGGTAATTAAAGACACCAGCTGCAGCTGATTATTAATTTTTATTCAACACTATCATTTATTTCAAAGGATCTGTTGATATTTAGGATTCTTTGGGAGGTGTGGGATCATAAAATTTTAATTAAAATTTTTTTCTTCAATGAAAAACTTTGAATTTTAGAAATTTTAAAATATTGAAATTTATAATTTGGTTTTAAATTCCAAAAATCTCGATTTTTTATTTATTGATTGCAGATTATCAAACGAGGAAAAACGAACAGACTCACCCCAGCCCACCTTTTAAAAAGTATAAGGATCACTTTGTCCGAAGTCCCAACCTGTCAACTAACCCCATTCCGTATGGCATTGAATAAAAAAAATAATCGGCCGAGCTGCTTTCTTCTGTATGAATTATATATTTGTTGTTGTTGTTTTTTATTTTATTTATTTGTTGTTGGTAGAATTGGGATTGTTTGTGTATGGTATATAGTTTCTATTTATAATTATTTTGTAGTAGTACATATTATTAATTAATTAATGTTTAATTAAAATTGTATTTTTTTGTTTTGCTTTTGTTTTTTAATTTTTGTTAGGCAAAAATGAAAAAATTAAATTTAATTTATTTCGTATACATTTTGAAAAGTTTAACGTTTTCCGATTTTTGCTTTTTTTGTTGTCTCTCGTATAACTTGGTGTGTGAGTTTTCAAAAATTTTTTGGGGTAGGGTAGTAATAATTTTAAATTTCGTATTTCTTTTGTTTGCAGTATACATTTGTGTTTCCAAAATTCTTTTTTTTTTAGTTTCAAGTATACTTTGTTTTCTCTTATTACATACTAATTAGAAAAAATATTGAATTACAAAAAATACATTTACGTATATGCGGCATTTCTTTTTAAAGAAAAAAATATAAAAATTCCAAAAAATCGATAACTGAATTGGTGATTTTTGAAAAAAAAAAGCAAAAACAAGAAAACTATTGCAGTTTTAGAAGTAAAGAAAAATTTAGGCCACCTAAAAAAATAGGTGATCTCTTTTTTTCCTTCCTTCCCTTTTACACTTAAATACTAAAAAAAGAGTTCTACAAAACTAAACCCAAATAAAAAAAATAAAAGGGGATAGCAAAAAATAGACATAGATGACAAAAGAAAATAATACACCTAGTAATTTTAAAAAAATATTAGAATTACATTTACGTTTCTGCTTCTTCTTTTTCTTCTTCTGCTGATAAAGCAAGAGTTTTTTTCGTTTTTTCTCATTTTAGAAAATTAAAAAAAAAATACTAAAAAACAAAGTGCGTTAGTTTAGAAATTGTTTTTATATAATAGGTTAGGGACTTTTGCTTCTTCTCAGCTGCTATAAAAGTCCAACTGCTCCTCCTCATCCTCTTGCTCTAGTATTTGTTATCGAAATAACGTCCTCAAGGGCTAAGATCTTGATGGAGAGTGGGATCGTAGCCGCCCATGCTGTTGTCATACGGCTGCTGTTGATCATAGCCACCGGAACCCATGGAATAGCCCATTGAATCTTGGGGAGGGGCGGGTGACATCATTGGTGTTGTGGTACCGCTGGGAGGTCCGGCCATGGAATAGGGTGAGGCACCGGCTGCCTTTTTGGCTGCATACAGATTGGCCTCCTCCTGGGCCTTGCCAATGTTTTTCTTATAGCGAATACGTTTATTGCCAAACCAATTTGAGACTTGTGAGACCTAGAGAAAAAGGAAATAAAAATTTGGATTATTTATTTATTTTCCAATATAAATACTTCATTTAAAAAAGAAAATATTTTCGATTTCAAAACATCTTTTTATTATAATTATAACATGAAATAATTTTCACTGCCACTTTTTTTTACAAACACAAAAACAATTTCTTATTATAATTATAATAGTGCATCTTTAGCGAACAGATGCAACAAAGTCACTGCATTTTTTTCAAATATTCCAAAAAAAATGCCTGCAAACACAGCATCACCAGAATACTATCACCCTCTCCTCTTCCTGTCACAGTATTCCACTGATGCTGTGGCTTGCTTTTAGTTCCCTTCTGTATTTTTCGTTATCGATGCAACAAACACTTACAGTTATGCCACATTTACGTGCCAATTCCTCTTTGGCCTCCTCGGATGGATAGGGATTACTCAAGTGACTATAGAAATACTCATTAAGTATTTCTGATGCCTGTTTGCTAAAGTTACGACGTTTGCGACGCGCGTCCAAGAAACGTGAACGCAATATCATGACGGCCTCACAGGTTGACTGTTTCAATTGCATTTGAATCGAACTGAATTTTTTGTGGATAATTTGTACCATACGCTCAATCTCTTTGGGAGTGATGGGCCTGTAAAAAGAAAAGCGATAGAGGAAAGAAGATTAGAATTTTGTTCAATAAACCAAAAAGATATATGGGAGCTATATCTAAATCTCAAACGATTAAAAAAAATTTAACACACCTCAATCTAGAATCAATTCAATACGCTATACCAAATTTCGTCGCAATGGGACAAACAATGGGAGTTTGGTACACCAGTTAAATCAAATCGGAAAAAAATATATATGGCAGATATATCTAAATCTCAAACGATTTCAACAAAACTATATACTCAGCATTCTACCCTCAATTCAATACGCTAAACCAAACGAACAAAAAATTGAGGTTTGGTGCCTCATTTACATAAAATCGAACGAAAATATATATGACAGCTATATCTAAACCTGAACCGATTTCAACAAAACTTTAAATACGTCATTCTACCCTCAATTCAATACGCTATACCAAATATCGTCTCAATCGGACAAAATATAGGTGTTTGGTGCCTCATTTATATAAAAACGGCGGAAAATACTTGTACTTTACACACATCATTCCACACACAATTCAATACGCAATGCCAATTTTCGTCTCAATCGGACAAATAATGCCAGTTTGGTGCACCATTTTAATAAAATCGGACGAAAATATATATGGAAGCTATATCTAAATCTGAACCAATTTCGACACATTCAAAATATTTTAATTAGAATTATATTACTATACCTAAATTAGGATTATATTTCTACGCATAAATTAGGTTTCTATATCTGTACCAAAATTAGGATTCTACTTCGACTTTCATTTAGAAAAAAAATGTTTTAGAATCTAAAACTATCTAATTACTGAGAAGATGAGAGTTCGATAATTAATTACCACGGCAAAGAATTCCAGGGTCATTATACCACCGTAAGGAAAAGATTCAAGGGATCCTGTACTGGAGGGTCGCTTCCTATAAATTAAATTCCTAACGATACAAGGGCTTAAAACACCTTATAGAATTTCCAAATCAAAATTACTGTCCTAATTATCCAATTCCATAGCCACGATATTCTTTAGGATCCAACGATTATGGACACCTCTAAGGTCTGTCCATTTCGATTAACTACTGAATATAACTTGTCTTAACTATCCAATTCTATAACATATAACTTGTCTTAATTATCCAATACAAAAATTTTTAGGATATTCTAGACACCTTCTATAAATTGTATTAATACACAATATTTGCTATTAATCCAATTCCATAAGAGATCTCAAGGGTAGATAAGAAATTCTCTCAAAATAAAGGGTACCTCCACGACACAAAGTTTACGGAGTATCAATTTTAAAGAGAAGCTTTCCCCGAAGAAATTCTCCCAAAATTAAAGATATCTCCACGATATTCTTGACGATTCAAGGGCTACGGGACAGGATGTTTAAATTCTATTAAATACTTAATATATAAAAAATGTCTTTAACAATCCAATTCTATAACATATTGAGTAACCATTTCAAAGGGGAATTTTGTCACAAAGGAAAATTCCCATAATTTCTTCTCCTCAACTCACCTTGTACGACTCTGTTCACGCAACAGATTCATAACGTGTGTGGTAAATTCATTGCACGCCTGTTCATATTTCTCCAGCTCCTGATGATAGATTTGGCGAATTTGTGCCAATTTGGCACGATAATCCGAATGTTCAATGGCATTGTCGGCGCCATCTATTGACAATGAAGAGCCTACTTTAGTTATAAGAAGAAGAAGGGAAGAAGAGATAGAAGAAAAGAATAAAAACGATAATCAGTCAAAACTTTCTGTTACGCGAAAACTAACCTTGACTGGCTGCTGCAGCTGAGGCAGCAGCAGCGCCACCACCACCTTTTTCCGGGCCGGCAACACCTTCGGCAATTAGCATGTTATCTAAACGCATCAATTGTGGATCTGGAGGTTCCTCCTCTTGGGTATTGCGAATTGAGAGGACTGGAAAGGAAAGAGAAAAATAGAGATAATTAATTAAATGAATTTATGAAGGAGGAAAATTAAATTTAAGAAAAATACAAATTAAATAAGGAAAAAATGGATTGAAGAGAAAGGTTTATTTAAGAAATACAAAAATTAAATTTGAGAATTCCTCGCTTGATTAAATTTGTAAAGCCGAGATTAAAGTGAGAAAGAGGTGGGCTGAAAGGAAGTTAAAAAATTTAATTTAGAAAAAAAATCTTTCTTGATTAAATTTATAATGCTTGGTATATTTATAATTCAAAAATGATATATTTTTGAGGAAAACAAGATTAGGAATAACAAGAATAACATCATCCTACCAGCCAGTCTCAGCCATTCTACATAGAATTAGCTTCCGAAAATAGCGAAGTGTTGTCGGGCACAACAAATAAAACATAACCATTGAAATGAAAAACATTTTCCCCGACACCCAATATTGTTCATGCTGGATGTTTCAAAGCTAGAGCCATTGCTACTTGGATACTACAGCCATTTCTACTTCTATTAATGCTGTTGTTTTTGTTCTTCTGAATACCATTCTAAGATTTCTTTTCTTTTTTGTGTCATAAAATTTTATTTGTGTACGAGTTTGGAAAAACAAAATGAGCAGAGTCGAGTCAAGACATAGCCTTAAACTTCCAAACATCATCAAGTCATCTTTGGAACCCATAGGAAATGAAGAAAACAACAACAACAAAGATGATGACGCCAACTGTGTGGCAAATAATATAACAAGAAAAATAAAAACAACAACAGTAGCAGTAGCATCATTGATGATATCCCTTTCAACGGCAACATTTTAGTAAAACATATCAGGAATGAATGAATAAAAAAACTCCTCAAGGAGTTACCATAGGAATAACTGATGAACAAAAACAACAGCAAATGCCAAAGCTCAAGCTAAGACAAAAACAAGGAAAACTTTGTAACTAAGAAGCTGAAAAAAACAACAACATAACTGCCAAGAAATGCCTTTATTCTCAGACGTTACTTCCTCTTGTAGTAGACACAAAAAAAATCACCAAGCAGCCACGCATAACAGTGGTGGCAACCATTATAAATGTCTTGGGAATCACTTAAGTTTTGCTTGTGTTCGTTGTTGTTGTTGCTACTTCTGTTTTTGCCCACTTTAATCGAATAACTTTAATATGAATTAAGATGTGCTGAATACACAAATATCCTCAATAGGGGTTTTTTGTTGTTGTTGTTTTTTCCAAATGAACTGTGTGTGCTCTCAGTTTGAAGGGAAAATGAGGACACCAGTCAGTCAGCCATGAGGCTCTATGGAGATTTGAATTCTTAATTTTTTTGTTTTTTTCTTCTTCTGTATTTTTTATCTTCACGTCTCGTAGAGTATTTTCTTTGCAATTAAACTAAATTAATCATATTGAAATTTATTGGTGTAAAAGTTTACGGCCAAGTTCCTTCTTTATCTGTTTTTTGGAGAATCGTGGCATATTTTGAAAACAAAACAAAAAAATCCGTCATAATTTAAAATTCATAAGGGAGAATTTTCAGAAAACAGATTTAATGACAAATGCCTTGAATAAGAGGATTTTTTTTGGATTTAAAAAAAGTTATTGTGGTCGTATTTGATGGGAGAGAGTAAAAGAGGGATTAATAGCGAAATTCGAACACAAATGCAGGCCTTAGAAGGAGAGAAATATCGTTAAAACAACATGCCTTGGAAAAGTGGAAATATGAAAACTATAATTGTGTACAAGTTTGAAGAATGACAAATGTCGGTAGATTTTATTAAAAAAATATTTTTCAGGTACCTTGATAGGGCTCATTTTTTAAGAAATAATTTTTGCAGTGGCCTTGAGATGCATAGATCTTTTAAAAATCAGTAAGGAAAGTAGTAAAGTCGGACGGGGCCGACTATATGATACCCTTCACCACTTTGGGTATATTCAACAGATGGAATCCTAACAGACGTCGCATTTTTTAAGGACCATTAACATGAAATTAAACATGTCATTCTGCAACCTATACTAAATTTTGGTCAGATATAAAGTTGCTTCTTACAATTCGTTCTAGACTTAATGCAGTGCGCTATGCCAAATTTCGTGCAAATAGAAGGATATATAGGTTCTTTGGTGAACCATTTACATAAAATCGGACGAAAATATATATGGGAGCTATATCTAAATCTGAGCCGATTTTCACGAAATTAACCACACATCTTTCTAGACTTAATTCAGTACGCTATGCCAAATTTCGTGCAAACTGAATTATAAATAGGGATTTTGGTGCACCATTTACATAAAATCGGACGAATATATATATGGGAGCTATATCTAAATCTGAACCGATTTTCATGAAACTCTACACACATCGTTCTAGAACTAATTCAGAACGATATGCCAAATTTCGTGTAAATCGAAGGATATATGGGAACTTCCGCGCACCATTTACATAAAATCGGACGAAAATATATAAGGGAGCTCTATCTAAATCTGAACCGATTTCCACAAAACTCTACACACATCGTTCTAGACCTAATTCAGTACGCTGTGCCAAAATTTCGTGAAAATCGAAAGATATATAGGGACTTTGGTACACCATTTATATTAAATCGGACGAAAATATATATGGGAGCTATATCTAAATCTGAATCGATTTTCCCAATTTCAATAAGGTTCGTCCTAGGGCCAAATAAGTGACCTATGCCAAATTTCATCCAATTCGAATCATAAATGCGACCTGTACTCTATTAACAATTTAACATGGACAGACAGACAGTCGGACGGACATGCATAAATCGACTTAAAAAGTGATTCCATGCATATTCTCAATAGGAACCATGTGTCTATTTCGTTTCCTTTTGCCTGTTGCAAACATATGCACGAAGACATAACACCCTATACCACAGTGTGATGATAATTTAAAATCCAAAAAAAAAAAAAAATACAAAATTATTCTTGGGGGCTACATGAAAAATCCACCTTCCTGGAAGGTCCCAAAAAAGATATTTTTGAAATATATCCCTAGTTATGGTTAAAAAAACATACAATTATGAAAGTATTGAAAACGAAATTAATATGCTACCCAATACAAAAAGTCTTTATCTTTCATGATTAAGCCTCCTTCTGATATCTTATTGATTAAATTAATTTTATTTAAATTATAAATTAAAAAAAACTTGCAAATAAATTGGTATATTATTATTACACAAGAGAGGTTTAATAGATAGCCCAAATGAATAAAGATATCACTCAAACCCTCCCCGTGAGGTGCACCTTAAGTGTCTATGCACATTAATTAAAATTTCAAATAACAATGGAGGAATTGAATTAATTTCAAATTTAATTCTTAATTTCTAATAAATTCAGTTTACAAGAGAAGAAGAAAAGAGATATCTACCAATAAAGATGTACGGTAGATTGAGGGCTAAGGTGGATGGATGAATGAATGTTTAAAATGTTCAACAGCCTCCTCATCAAAAGGATTTAATTTCAAGAAATGCTTTAATTAAAGTCTGTTGCAGTAGTAACAACAATGGACCAGAAAAAAACTCAGAGACAACACACCATCCGAATGGAGACACCAATAGCAAGAGGATAGAATAATTTTCTTGTTGTAACACAATTGATATTCTAGTTAAAGGTTTATTCAGATGTGGATGTTTTACTTCAATCTCGCCTCGTCTAAATATTCCACACACACTTCCTTGCCGTTCAACATTATTGTAATACAAGCAGACGGTATGTAATTCTGCCCTCCCCTCTTCTATCTATTTTGCCTCTCCTTTAGTTTAATATCATTGTAGATTTTTTGCTGATGCGTTTATGGCAAAAAACGGAAAAAGAAAAAAAAGTTTCTATTCTTAATCTAATCAACTTTTGTTCAGATGCTGTTTCGTCTATCGTTGTTGTTGTTGCACAACAATAAGAAAAACCCAAGGAAGAAACGTGCGTTGATTGTTGAGTATCATCTTGTGGAAAATCAGCAGCATCAGCCGTAGCAAATATCCAATATTAAAGTGTACTCCAGCATCACATCCAACCCGACCACCACCAATAACACCTCAGCAGCATTACCACTTTTGCCTTTTGTCTCTTCATTTCATTTTTGTTTTTTTTTTCTGTTGAGACCAAAGCCAGTTAGTTACACGTCCCGCCTTAAAATCAAGACACCAAAAAAGGGTAGGTATTAGCTGGCACCACCAACCAACCAGCCAGCCAGTCAACCATTCCATTTGTTGACAATCAATGAACGTGTTCGGCTGAAGTTCGAAGTGGTGCTGCTGGTGGTGGTGGCGTTTTCTTTAAACCTTGATAAGATAACTTGGTTAATACCTTTACTAGATTTTTTCTTGTACTACTTCTACACTAAGGCGGCAAGCAAGCCAGAGCAAGCATGTGGCATAATTTGTATTCCTCCTCCTTTCCATTAAATTGTTTTTGTTGTAGCCAACTATCAGTTTTTTTCTTAACAGCAAAGGGAGTTCCACAACATCTGAAAGTTGTTTCTTAAGTCAAGATGTTGTCTTTAAAATGCATTAAAAAAAACTGACCATATTTGGAAAAAAATCCTCTGAAATATTCCCCAGAGAGAAAATTTAAATTTATAAGAAAATTTACAACAAAATGTTTTATAAAAAACTGTTGTGGTTGTGAATTTACAAAAAAAAATATATTTACAGATTATTTTTGGTTGTAATAAAAAATCCCCAGGTAAGAGGGACTTAAAAACTAGTACTTGGAAGTTCACGCCTAAAAGTAGGCATTGGAAAATGATTTTAAACAACCCACGCCTATGAATAGACCTAGAAAAAATATTTATAAAACATATTTTAAAACAATTATGGGCTTAATATTTAAATTCATCGATTATTTTGGTTATAACAAACAAATTAGTACTCGGAAGTCCACGCCTAAAACTAGGCACTGGAAAATGTTTTTTACAACCCATGCCTATGAATAGACCTAGAAAAAATATTTATAGGTCATGAAACATTTTTTTAAAACAGTCAT